TAACCCGCCACTTTTCTTCTTCCTTTTTTCTTTTTATATGACAATCGATGGTCCAGTATAGCAATGTGCCATTTCGAGTGAGACAAACGTACAGTAAACTTGGAATCTATATTCATAGCATACCAATTGTTGCAGCAAGTTAAACAGTCCAACTAAGAATTGTTGAGCATAATGTCCATTTTCAAAACTAAAGAATGAGGTTAAGGCAGGAAAAAGAGGGGGGGGGGGCATAACCCACCACAGGAAACACGACATTGTTCGAGAAACATTAAATCGTAAAATTCACACACATAAGTAGCCCAGCCTCAAACGTGAAGGGGTTAGTATAGTTAGTCGATTAAAAGAAAATTGGCAAATTTCCCGGGAAAGAAGTATCAAAGAGAATCAGGTAAGAATATTAACAGGCGAAGGTACAGATTCCCCGAATTTCAGAGGGAAAGGGTAGGAATCGGCAGCCACGGTGCTGGCAAAGAGCCCAACAAACAGCTTGACAGAGAAGGAGAGGGATGAGAAGCTTACCATTATTACGGACCAATTTGACCGGTGTCAGATTCGGAGGATGGGGGCGATGATGAGAAAACTTGCCTGCTAATCCTTCGGGAAGAATGGAGAGCAAAACAGGCCGGTTTCCGTTTCTCCTTCCTTTATAAAATGACGCGTTTAAAATCAATTTTTTTAGTCTCCATCTTAGTTAAATTTCATACAATTGAAATTATGGTGAAATCAACATATTTTATCCTTGCATAACAATTTCATTAATATATCAATGAATATGATATTAAAAATATTAAAAAAAATTATTTTGTTCCTAAATTATGAATAATTTGATTGACCTTAAACTAAATAAGAACAAACATCCCAATTCTGGCATCAATATCATGTAATGGTATAGTATGCTGATGGAATAGAGTTATGAATAAAAATTTTATTGATGAAAGAGTAAATGGAGAAATATTCATACGGAGAATATCAGAATAATCAGCTGTAATACTGAAGTGAAATATTAAGTGGATGACAACACCTATAAGGGTCATCATATGACAATACTATATGGATAAATGTGATACTGTTTCTAAATAAAATACTAGTTCCGGTACTTAATATAAGAGTTTGTTTGACTTTTATTTTATTCTGAAATATAAGATCCCAATACATTTTTTTTCTTATATTTATTTATTTTTTTCAAAATATTTTTTATAATAATAATAATTTTAATTAACACACTTGATTAGTAAAAATATTTTAAGAAAAATAACAGATATTTATTATAAATAATTAACTTAATTAATTTTTTTAATCTATTAAAATTAGTTAACTAGTTTTTATATTAAAGACCGAATGTAGTATTTATTTTGTATCGTAAGATCGGAGCTACTAATCTTATAATAGGGTGAATCCACCAATATGATACCAATAAATTGCAGATGCCTACTTTTTTTGGGTTTTTGGAATGGCGTGGGATTGTATTGGGCCATAATTCGGAATGGAGGTGGGGTGTTGAGTTCTATGGGTTGTTGATGGGCCTACGTCACCCTTGGGCTTTCATGTTGTAGCACGAAAATGACATCAGGAAGAGAACCCTTGACTCTTGAAAGTGTATTGTAGATATGATGCTTTTTGTCTGGTCAAAAAAAAAAAAAAGGTACGTGCTTTTTGCTTTTTTTTTTTTTTTTGGAAATACAAGGTCACGGCAAACAATTTGTGAGGAGGGATATAGTCGCCCTAGACTAATAACTATTACCTCTGGTTCTAAATATAAGAGTTAGTTGATTAATTTGAGAAGATTAAAGAAATAAGTTAAATTAGTTATTTGTAATAAATAGGTATTGTCTTTCTTAAAATATCATTGTTAATAAAGTTTATTGACTAGAACTATCATTATTAAAAGGACTACCTTGAAAAAAAAGTATAAACATAAGAGATAAAGTGAATTAAAATCTTATATTTAGAATTAAAATAAAAATTAAATGAGATTTTATATTAAGAACTGGAGGTAATATTAGAATGTGAAGGCTATCACTGCACAGGAGGCCCGGTTTGGTTGAGAGGGAAGATTTGTCATTGAATGGACATGAACATGGATAGATGCACATAGTATCGGTTGGTATAGAAGGAAAATACTTTACTAAGTGGTATTTGGAAGTAAGATAAGAGAATATATATATATATATATATATATATATATTAAAAATAAAAAAGATTAATTGCCCTCCTCCCAATCGACCTCCTTGAATCACAAAGTAATATGATAATAAAGGCACTTTTGACTTTTTCTTTTCTTTCTTTTCTTGTTTTTTCCAATTCCAAAGCAAAATTCAAAAGTACTCACCGGCATTCCATCCCTTCGACTACGGAAACCATAAAAGCCTCTTGCTTTTTTCTTTTTTTCCGGAAATACAAGGTCATGGCAAACAGTTTGTGAGGAGGGATATAGTTGTCTAGAATAGCTATTACCTCTGGTTCTAAATATAAAAATTAGTTGATTAATTTGAGAAGATTAAAAAATAAGTTAAATTAGTTATTTGTAATAAATAGATATTATTTTTCTTAAAATATCCTTGTTAATTAAGTTTATTAACTAGAACTATCATCATTAAAAGGATTACCTTAAAAAAAGTATAAATATGAGAGATAAAGTGAATTAAAATCTTATATTTAGAACTAAAATAAAAATTAAATGAGATCTTATATTAAGAACAGGAGATAATATTAGATCGTGAAGACTATCACAGCACAAGAGGCCCAGTTTGGTTGAGAGGGAAGATTTGTAATTGAATGGACATGAACATGGATAAATGCACATAGTATCGGTTGGTATAAAAGCAAAATACTTTACTAAGTGGTATTTGGAAGTAAGATAAGAGAATATATATATATATATATTAAAAGTAAAAAAGATTAATTGCCCTCCTCCCAATCGACCTCCTTGAAGCGGAAAGTAATATGATAATAAAGGCACTTTTGACTGTTTCTTTTCTTTCTTTTCTTGTTTTTTTCCAATAAGCAAAATTCAAAAGTACTCAACAGCATTCCATCCCTTCGACTACGGAAACCATGAAAGCCTCAAAAACTAAGCAGGAATTCTACCTTCTTTGCTTTTCTTTCCAGCACATCAAATTATGAAAACATTGCTTTCTTCTCACACCTTTCCTTTTCCTTTTTGCCTTGTATACCAAACACTCGGTCCTCATTAGATTAAGGGTGTGTTTAGATGAAACCAAACCATGGTTTGAAGAATAGCTTTTGGAAAATAGATTCTGAAAAAAATAGATTTTGAAAAGAATAGATTTTGTGAAAAAGTGATTTTGAGAAGTGTGAGTGTTTAGATAGTTGTTATTAGAAGTACTTTTTATATATACAAATTGGCATAAATTAATATGATAATTATAAAAAAAATATATTTTATGATATATTTTAATTGGAAGGAATAAAATTGTTAATAATATATTTTTTATTAACATATATTAATAATATATAAGATAATATAATTAATAAATAATTAATATTTATATATATTTATAAGATATAAGATTAAATATATTTATAAAAAATATGTTTATAAAAAAAACAACAAGATACATATCCTATAGGCTCTCACACTCTCCCCCTTTTCCTCCAAAAGTAAAAAAATTTTGCTTTTCTCAAAACCATGGTTTTGATTTTTTTAAGGGTGTTTGGCTAACATTTTTCCCAAACCATGGTTTGGGATGCTTACCAAACACACCCTAAGACGTGCATATTTCATCGCTATGCAAACAATTTCACTCATCGTATTTATATAAATTACTTTTTAACATTTTTCACACAAATTTCAAAAAAAATCTTAAATTTCATTAATAATTATGTTTTAAAATTCAATAAATTTTTAACTTTATCTTTATTTAATATACATTATACTACCTCTTATTCTTATCATAAGATCCCTTCTAGAATAATTTTTAAGTTTTATATATAAGACCCTATAACAGTTTCGATAAACATTAAATATTTTTTCATACATGCCCAAACTTAATATTGGTAGTAGGAAAGTATGAATTAACAAGATGTTGAAACTTAGCATAATTAATTAGGGTAATATTGGCCGGCCAAAAAAATGATGGTAATATTAGAAATTACTTAAATTTTATGACAAATTTAATATTTTTAAATGTTTTGATTGGTATTTGTGAATTAGTTGGTCGTCTCTTATATTAAGCATAAGAGAGAGCACGTAAGAACAGAATCAACATGATAATAAATAAAAATAAAATTATATATTTATATAAAATATTTTAATGATGCGAGTCTGATATGTAAATAGGACTAAAAATTTTCTCCCTCTCCTCTGTAAATAGAACCAGATGAGTATTTATTAGTATAATCTTATAAACAGCATTGTATGTTCATTTTTACAAATTAAATATTAATATATTTCATTCAGTTTGAAACAACGGAACCATGCTGTTGCAATAACACGATTCAATAAAAATAAAATCACATACCAAATTCAACTTCAATAGTACTTCAATTGTTTGCGAGAACAATAGGGAAGATACGTCATTCTATACGGATGTGCGTCAATTGTGGGTGTGGGAGAGATTTCTTAAAATATTGATTTATTGCGACCATTATATTTGGGAATTGAATTAGTAGTTAATTTTTTTCAAGGTTCATCCTCGGACTATATAGTTGTCGTTTGCATTAGTGGGCTGATGAATCACATCATTTTTTTTTTTTGGGTTTGCCGGTTACTCTTCAATTATTAAAATCCTAATTAATGAGCACATCCACTTTCTCCTCCGTCATTATTATCTCCTTACTTTTTTCTCTCCGGATCGGAGTCCTGACTCCTGACCATACCATATCCACACAACTCATTTTCCTACAACATTTGATTAAACACACTGAGAAGGCTGTTTTTCGTTTTTAAAACTTCTAATAATTGAATTATTGATCGGAACGATCTCCACTTGATCTGCATCGCCAAGCTACCAAGTAAATACACTGAACAAGCTACTTTTGTGCAAAAGCCATCCATTGCGTGCTGACCAACAATCATTTGTTTTCCATGGGAACACGTATGTTATTGAATTTAAACATAGAAAAACCCGAAACATTGACATTCGCTAATTACTAATTGCTGAAGAGTGGTATATTGCAGCTATAGTACATACCCCGTCTCACACTATGCTTTGGCTTTATCTTTTCTTTGAGAAGACAAACATAGAAAAGGGACGGGACGATAGTAATTCTGCAGATTCAACAGGCGTGGGCTTCAGTTGATCATGACCTTCACAGGGGATGCACCAAAATGCACGGTCTTCAGCCCCTTCGATGGGAGGGCCCCAGCAAAGGCCATCTGGTCTTCTCGCCCTCTCTTCTTATGGTCGTTGCTCCTCATTTTCTCCTCCTCCTCCTTCGTCGTTTCTTTCTCACCTCTCAACCAAACCCCAAATAGTTTCAGACTTTCTCCGCCTTCACCTACCGCCTTTGTCTCGTCCTCATCTTCTTGTCCTTCTTCTTCTTCTTCTTCGCGGCTGGACCCACTTGTTCCTTGCCGCATTAGGCGATTGATCTGATCGGGCCCCACTTTGAGGTACTTCGTCAGAAAACCCACCAGCTCCTCGCACTGCCTCTTCGCTTCCGCTAGCTCCGAGCTCAGCATCTCATTATCTTTTCTCAGCTTCTCATTCTCTCCTGATAGCTCTGCGTATTCTGCACCCGTTTTCGTCTCCGCCGACCCCGGCTTATTCTTCGAATCAGTCGATGAAGTGGAGGTGGACCCCACGTCGTCGCCGGCTCCGGAGTTCGACGCGGAATTCCCGCCCCCGCCGCTTCCGGACTTCCCGGAGGCCTGCGCCGATGGTTGCGAGGGATTCTTCCGGCGTTTGATCTCGGAGAGGAGCTCCTTGCGTCCTCGCTTGAAATGTTCGTTCGCGAATTCCCATTTGTCGGGGACTATCTTTCGGAATCCCTGAGAAACACCCCCATCAACCAATTTTATTGTATTTAATCAACCAAATATATCATCAGCACAAAACATATAAACCTTATAATAACTCTCCATGATTGCCTGATTTTTTTTTTTTTTGGGTCTTCTTAGATCATAGGCTTTTTAAATTAGCTTAGTGGTCCCTCAAATTGGAGACTTTTTCGATGGGGGCGGACAACTTCGAGAGAGTTTGAATTATATTGCCGAAAAACGACGCGTGAGCTTACCCGTGCACGTGCTTGTGCGAGTTAGGTACGAAACGAGCAACTACCTCTAGAAATATGGCATCCATCATGGAAAATGAGAACACGAAGGTTCTAATGAACACGGAGAGAGTGACATTAATCGGTATCTGCTTATACTTTCTTGTTCACATTTGGCAGTATTAGTTATCTAGCTTGAGAGTGACGTGGGAGATGGCTCACAATCAAAGCAAACTCATTTAATATGATTTAGACAAATATCGTCTCCTACTTAATTAAGACAACAATAAAAACATATTAATCATTCATTATTTATTTAATTTTTGGATATACATTTCTTGTATTTTTTTTTTAAATTGGTGAATAAGGCATGCTGTCCTCTTACCAGAAAAACAAGATGATTAAAATTATCTCATCTAATTAATATATTAACATATAATATAGTACGATGGCAAAATATATATAAAGGGTACCATCTATAATCCGTTGAGTAAAATAAACATTCGGATGAAACCACCGATAATGTAGAAGATTTTTAAAGTCTTTTGGTTATTTTTTTGGGCCATATGAGAAAATAAAAAAAAAGGTTGACAGATACCAACTACACTTTTTCAAACATGCAAACAAAAAAAATTCCAGCCCCACCACCTAACAGAACAGAACGCCGTAACGACGCGTGTTTCTCCACTAACACATAAGGTTACAGAGAATTTCCTTTTTTCTCGTTACTTAATCAATTTTACTTTGACTAGCTGGTCCAAAACGGGAACCGAGACCCAGAACATCGAGGATGCCAGAGGCAAAGAAGCCTCCTTCTCTAACCCCAAATTCGGATGAAACAAACTTTTACAGTTATACTACCCCCGGCCACCTCGTTTAATTTTTATTTTAATTATAAATATAAGACTTTAATTTATTTTGTCTCTCATGTGTATATATTTTTCTAAGGTGGTCCTTATTAAAATAGTAATTATAACTAATATACTTGATTAACAAGGATATTTTAGAAAAGACGACACCTATTTATTATAAATAAATAATTTAATTTATTTTTTTAATCTATTCAAATTAATTAACTAAATCTTGTATTTATATTTGGAAGAGAAAATAGTATGAGTGGCATAGTTAAATCTTTTGGTTAATTAAATAGCATCTTTTGTAACCATAGTTCATGGTTCTGCAGTACGTTTCAGAAACTCGACGTCATCTTGTTTATCGTATAACAACTTATTAATCATCTAAATGTAGTAAATTATATATACGCCTAAGCATTCAATCCCAATAATATGTAAAGAAGGGGAGAATCCTATTAAGAGGAGGGAAGAGGAACATACATAAGTGTTGAGCTGACGAACAAAGCTGGAGAAATTGTTGTGCTTGAAATAATTGGGAAGCAAATCCTTGGCAAAATCCGCTTGCTTCCACACCACGAACGTGTCGCCGCTTTCGTTCCACGATATCACGTCGTTGGTCAGCTCATCGTCCACCAAATGGTATGTTTTCGTCAGAAACGGCGCCGGCACCGACCGCTGCGTCATTTCCCTCCTCGATCGGCGTTTCTCTCTCAGGGAAGAACTCTTTCGAAACAAATAACAAATTCCTATCTGAAATTCCGGACTATATTGATCCGACGCGGTACAGGAAAAATAGAATAAACAAACGGCCAGAGAATCGCGATTGATTAGGAAGAACAACTAAAGAGGAGAAGAGCCGTCAAGAATTCCCAATCCCAGCAATAGAAGCCAAAGAGGAAGAATCGAGAGTGAACTAAGTGATCGGAAGGCTTTCTGCGATGATCAGAATCCATGGATCCAAACCGCAACCAGAATTTGAGATGAAGGGACAAAATATACCATAACTCCGACAACGGAATCAAAGAGTCGTCGTAGCTAGAAAGAGGTACGAGTAAATATCGTCCTTCTCCTATCTTGCACGAGACTACTCTGTTATATATACCAACGGATCCAAACGGGGCAAGGTGACGTAGGTTCTAGAAATATTGAGCAACTCTAAAATTAATAATAATAATAAAAAGGAATTAATAAACTATAGAGGGGGGCCTCCACTGGGACTTGCTAGTGCATTATGTTGTTTGGAAGAGGAAGCTTCGCAGGGTTTGAGAAAAATGGAAATGTGGTGTACGCACGAGAAGGACGCGTGGAGTTTTGAGAAAGTCGCAGGGAAAGGATAGAATTTGAGAAGGGGAAGAGTGGGTAAAGAGGGTTTTTCCTTGCTTCTTCCACCTACCACTCCCATTTGCCCCTTTCTTCTTTATATTGCTTCTATTCGTCGTTATCCTTCCATCCTCTTTTATTCTTTTATTTCTTCCATTCTAATATTCCCCCCTTCTTATCTTTCTTTAACTGCCACTAGCCTTCCTTAACTCTTCCCAACAATGCCCCTTTCTTGAACTAGAGGTAATCTGAGGTTATAAGCGATATTAAACTTACGATCTTCTGTTTAGAGGAAAACATTCATATTATTAGGCTGCGTAATTATATTAGCTTTCTACCACTTTTCTACTCTTTTCATTTCTCTCATTCTATTTACGCCAGTGGACATTGAATTAGACAAGTCATTGTAGCAAAAGTGGAAGATGCCACTCACGTTCTAAATGTTTTCCACTTCACTATCTTTTATCTTTTTCCTTCCCATATGCTAGTACCTCTTCTAATATGTATTTAATATTTAATTCATTAGGGTGGGGGTTGGCTATTGCAAGGTGAGCGCCGGCCAATACGGATTAAAATAATTTTCAATCGATAAATTTAGTGATTTTAATGTTTAGGGTTTCTTTTTTGTTTCTAAACAAAGCATAATATATTTTAAATCCGAAAACTTAATAAAGTTATATACAAATTAAAAAAGCTAATATGGGCCTGCACATATAGCACGAGAAGTTGGTAAACGTGAAGATTTATACAACCTATCAATATTATTCCATGTTTCAAATTTAACAATTTATGTTTCTATTACAATAAATGGAATTGAGTCATTTATAAATTAATCTCGCAATCGAATGCTTTACGATATCTATCTCTTCATTCAATCTTTTTACTTGAGACATGGTAATTTTTTTAAAAAAATAAATGAGTTTCATGTGTTTCTTTTTTCTTTTTTTTTTTTGCCAACATTTTTGAGTGTTACACGTTCTGCTTCAAGCGTATTTTGCAAAGACTGGAGAGGCTTGTTTATGTTATCCACTTTCTCTGTTGATATATTTTTCAAAAAAAAAATTCATTTAAATCTCTTATGCGCTCCGACATGTTTAAAAAAAAAAATGGTCATGATGGAGGACGGTGGAAACAGGGGAAGTGGGAATACATGGAATGTCATTGTCAAGTGTCTTGAATTGTATTGCGGGCAATATAATAATATTAGCTCTGATACTTAAAATAAGAGTTAGTTTATTAATTTGAGTAGATTAAAAATTTTTTGTTAAGTTTGTTATTTATAATAAATATATTTTATCTTTCCTAGCTAAAATACCTACAGCTGATCATGTGTATTAGTTAAAACTATCATTTAATGGAACATTTAACATGTAAAACTATTTCAAGGATTACTTTAAGAAAAAAATGGATAAATTTGAGAGACAAGGTAGATTGAAATATTATATTTATAACTAAATTAGATGTTAAACTAGCTTTTATATGAAATATCATAGGTAGTATATGTTATCATTGTAAACACTTTAAGAACGAACCGTTTAGATAATGTCCGCTCTAATTCACAATGGAAACTGTGATGCCAATATAATAAAGCCAATTAGATTGCCTCCATTGAACTTTCCACACCAATAAGATTATTGACCTAATTCCAACCACCAGGGTCTAGCCATATATGCTTATTATACTTGTATACATTATATCATATTTTTCAAAGATGACAATTATTTCCAGGAATGTACATTATACAGTATACTGATTCGTTCCATGCACCAAGCAAACACACAGGTGATGAGTTTGTTGAATTATCCAAATTTAACTTCTCGGATATCGTAAATAAGCAATGCAATTGTTTTCGTTTTTTATTTTATTTTAGTTTACCATATTATCGACTTCTCTTTTTTTTCGTTGGAAAATATTATATATTATCAAATGTGTAATCCTGTTTCGCTACTCATCAACTTAATGCGAAAGTTCCTTCTTAAATTAAGCCATGATCGAGCCCTTCCACCATCATGCTTTCTCACTTCTCTCCACCGCCGAAATATTGTTGTTCATTCACTTGCCTTATCTAAAATGACAAGTGCTTTAACATTTTTTTTTTAATGAATAGATTTTAAAAATTTTAATGTAAACAATTTTAACCTTTTTCCTTCAAAAACAGTTTTAACAAAGATATTTTTGTTCGTGTCAGTGCTAAATATTAATTTTTTTAATCAGTCATAAATACATAAGACCTATTTTAAATCACGATATGTCACTTATGATGTGTTACACCAAAGATACTTGCACGCAATTTATTCCAGAGTGTTTTGGAAAACAAAACCCGCCTGCTCTTTAAAAGTGATGATTTCGAAATGATGTCGTCTTTTTCTGGGGAAAAAATTAAGGTTTTTAGCTAATTATAATCCATGCGATTCAATTAAATTAATCTTATATTAAGAATTAGTGGTGGGAATAATTAATACTCATCCAATCCTTAATATAAGACCTATTTAACTAATTTGATTAGATTAAGGAAGTTAGGTAAGTTAGTTAATTATAAGAAAAATGACACATTTTTCCTAAAACACCATAATCATCTTTCTTAATACCCTATCTCCTTCTTCTATTTGATTATGGTTAAGGGAGTATCCATAGGGGTAATTTAGAGAAAATTGATAAATATGAGAAATAGATCTTATATTTAGGATCAAAACCAACTCAAGAATTAGGTCCTATATTAAGGACCGGAGGAGTACTATGTGAATAACCAATAATCATAAAGTAAGCTAAATAATAGTAATTCCTTTCTTACCAGCATCCACTTGCCTATCAAGTATCAAGTTAAAGTTGTGCGACTTGGTGAGAACTAACGCTACAGTGACGATTTTGTCAGTGAGCAATCTAAGTGTAGTCATATGCCATCCGATTCAATCTCTGATTAACAAAACAGTTAGACAATGAAATTTTAAATTTACATTATAAATTAAATCTTATATTTTAGGATTTAGGATGGGACGTAGTATTTAAAACGAGTGTGTGAACAATGAGATTGTTCCGATGAATGAAAGAGTTGTATAATTGGCAAATGATAAAGAGAAGGAGAGTTGTATGAAGTTGACAATTACAAAATATTAATATGTTAAGGATGCTTACAGTTACAATTCAATAGTGACGACCACAGGAACGTTGAAACTTCCTAACAAAGTTCGTACCCAATTTGAACACACAAACCACTTGTTCTTTGCCTTGCGGCGCCTTTCTCCAACTACGCCAATCCAAATTTAAGCTTAAAAAAATTCTCCCAAGTTTCTATTTTTTTTCCTTTTGTTTTTCTTTTTTTGGCTTCTCGTAGTCAAATCCTTAACAATTGTCGGTTTCTTTAACGTAATTATTTTATAGGATAATCATTGGTTTAAATATCCTTACCAATAATTAAGTTGTAAGTAATTTTATTCGTTATCTGAGCATGAAGCCTTCCTAAACCCCAGTCAGTCCCAAGACCGACTAAACTAAACTTTTTTTAATAAAAAATAAATGGCTAAATATATATTTAATTTGATCTTTTAATTTTATACGGAGTTTTGTTTTGGTCATTAACTTTAAAAAGTATACTCTTAGTCCTTTAACTCTAAAATTATTAGGCATTAATAATATTTTTTTGTAACAATCATAGTTGTTTTGAAATTTAAACTTAATATATTAGCATTTGAAAATGTTTTATCAATATTTAAGATCTCAATGTTATTTTTTTATAGTAATTTTATAGTTAAAAAACTAAAAGTACACTTTTTAAAGTTAAAAGACTAAATTAGAATCCTGTATAATATTAAAGGATTGATGTGTACTTTAGCCAAAATAAATTGTGAGATATTTAGGAAAATCAACATCCCTTTAATATAATTCACACAGACACACACACATATATCAATCCCTCATTCTCGTCTTTTTCTTTCTCTTAATTACCTGTTGATTTGTTTTTATGTTAGTTATTTGAAACAAAACATTTCGATTAGCTTCTCTGAAATAAAAATTGCGGCTAAGCTAAAGAGTAAACACGTTAAAAATAATACTAATTATTGTACTGAAAATATTACTTATTAAAAGTTTAAATTTTTAAAATGTTATTTTTATGCAGCCACCTACTGGAGCTTGAACACCGCCGGTCAATTTCAGTTCCTTTCTGGATGATGGCACTTATTTTGTATTGAAAATATCAGTTACTTAATTGGCTCTGAATTTTGGAAATTGAGTATTTTATAAGTAAATGCATGAGCGATATTTATTAGGAAAAATTATAAATAAAGACCTCATAATATGTAAAATTATGATTTGGAACTCTCAATTTGGAAAATACCAAATAAAGACCCGGGAAATAACAAGTTCATTTAAGCGAATGACAACTTTAATAGACCAAATCACAATTTGACTGAGGGGCATTTCAGATATTTTACCCACATTTTATATTTGCAAAAGTAAGACCAGATCCTTATTTGCTATTTTTCAAATTCAAGGTCCCAAATCACAATTTTACATATTGTGAGATAGTTATTTGCAATTTTCCCTTTTTATTATGCCAATTGTTTTTTTTTTTAACAAAAGAAAGAATTTTTAATAACTAGTCTATTCCAACACGGCCCATAGTAGTGGATCTGCAACTATTACTAGTAGAGAGTACAGCAGTAATATTCACAGCATCCTTCTCCAAAATCCAAAGTAAATGAGACGCCATAATTGTTCTTGGTTGTTGTAAACGATGCCATGCTAGTGAAGCATGTATGTATATCTTATGTAATTTTTTCCTTTCACATAAATCCTATTCTGTCAAGGTGTAATCCGAGAGAAATGATTTTATCTATTTAACTTTATTAAATAAAAGCAGAGAATATAAGAATACTTGTAGCATCATTAACATGTGTTATTCTAGAGACTCGTGATGAAGCAAAGTCGCAATATATATTCTCTACTTGAGTAGCAATGGCCCAACTTTTCAAAGCTGCGCGCCTAAAATATAATGTCAAGTCCCCACTTTCTGGTACGAAACAGATGGAGAATAAAAGCTCTTGCTCCAGAATTCTTCATTTATTTCCCACTTAACTGCAAACCCTCATCTCATCAAAAGCAGCCATCGGCCAGCCCAGAAGTGATACACAAAAGAAAAAAAGGGTCATAAACAGTCCATTATGCCTTAATGAAGCCTACCTTGAACCCCACACGCATATGGAACACAGTGATGAAAGAAAGACGCCCACAAACAGAGACAAAGCTCGTAAAGTAGAAACTGCCGACAGCTCCACGTTGACATACAACTAATTAAAAGGTTGCCTTAGACAACTGGGTAGTTAATATCAGCCCCGTGATTGGTGGAGGATCATTGTCAAAAGAGGTTTAATTTATGTCTGGCCAATTCATATATGTAATTATTGGCTGCTTCATTATTATTCATTTATATCAGCCTGAAGAACTTTGACGCACCGCACAAGCAACCACCTGAGCCCACTGCTTCAACCTTGACTTCACCGTTTGTGGATTTTCCCCTTCGTCACAGTCCCAACCAGATACACAATTATCAGATTCATTATTATATATTGCCCACTCTGCCAAATTGAAGAATAAAAACTAAGATATATATATGTACAATGTTGTGTACCTCGAGCGTATATGGTGGTGTGGGGACTGCCGAGGGGAGAGGGACTATCGGAATCAGAAGACGGCGTCGTTGTCATCGTTGACCTGTAGTTCTCGCTGACAACGTAGTAGAGTTCAAGAGCTGGCAGGGTATCGGAAAGACGCTGATCCAGTTCAACTTCCCGTGATGACCCGAATCCGAAGCCCAGTTCAATGCAGGCCTTGAGCTCGTCCACGTCCTCGTCGGTCACGCTCTTGCTCCTCCTATTCTTCCAGTTCCCTTTACGTCGAAGCCATGCCTCGTCGCGGAACGCATCGGGCGACCACGATCGCTGCTTGTACAGAGGCTCAGCACCAATCCGCGGTGGCGCGTGCGGTTCACACAAGGGTGTGGGCGTTAGAGACCCCGAGCACAGCCCCTGAATGTTGGGGTTGTGCGGGGGTCGAGAGACCTCGCACGGTGGGTTAGGGGACGCTATGGCTTATTAGGTTTGTTTGGTCGCTCTTGAATAGTGGCGAGGCCTGAGGCTTTTAAGGATGTGAGGTGGTGAGGTGCTGGGCCCAGGAGTGCCCTCTACGCCTGCTTCATTGGTCCACGTCATCATGACCTGTACTCGCCCTCCTCCGATCTGCGTGCCCTCGCAATGCAAAGCAGGGGGCTCTGTTAGCCTACGGCCCAAGCAAGAGGCCTCAGCTGGGGGACACACGGGATAATTGTTATATATATGGATTATACGCAAAGTTATTAGCTCACCCCAAAATCATCCTTTTTATTGCTTACAAGATATTATATATGTCCTCGTACATACAATGTCTTGATCCTGATTCACTTCTAAACAACATTATAAAATTTTAATATTTTACTAACTAATTAAACATAATAATTATAAAATTGTATAAATAATTAACCAAATTCATCTAAATAATAATCTTTGTTGAAGCTAATTTTAATATTTTACTAGAAATAACTAATTTAAATTAATCTTATTAATTTACGTAAAATTATTTTTATGTGCTTATAATAAAGACCAGTGGAGGGAACAATAACGTTAGCACTTAGCACAGCAAATTAAAAACCGAGTTGCTTATGTGGGCAAAGCATCTATCATAATAGATAGGGTCACTTGGGATATAATTGCTGGCAAAATGAGTATACAAGAACTAGCTTTTGTTTTCAAATGATATATATATATATATATGTATATATCAAATGAAGGGGAATATGTGCATGCCAAAGATTTGATCTTAAGCTTATAATAATGAGCAGAGGATATAGCCCTCGAATGAGTGAGCAGGTTAATTAGTTAGAAAAATGAAAATTAATTATTATATGTAACTCAGCTCCACAAAATAATATCATAATGCCTTGGCGATTAAGGAAGGGGTCAACTCAAATTAAAGGAGTGGAGCGGTGGTGTGTTCCCGTCATTTTCCCACTCATCAAACAGCAGCAATATAATTAATTATACTGCGCTGTATATATTCTATATATGCGCGCGCGCGCGCGCGAGAGAGAGGGAATGACCCACACACACATATATAATTACTAATTTTCATATGGATGTGAGGGTTGGCTTAACATATGCATGATGAAGCTCACTTATTAATGAGCGATTGGCTCTCTTAGTCATTTAATTAAGCACTGCTAGCTTGAGAGAATAAAGTCAATTGAAGAGGAATCAACTCTTTCTAAAGACTGGTATTTTAAACAAAAGGGTTTCATCATATCAACCTGTTCCACTGTAAAGGCATGCATCTCAAATTTTTCTCATCAAATAACACTGCTTCGTTTAATTATAGGGACGACATTACAAATTGCTGAATTTGAATCCGATCATTTGACCTTCTTTTACTTTATTCTGTGTTTTAAAATTTTTAATCATCAATATTACCTCCGATCCTTAATATAAGAGTCAGTTTGACTTTTAATTTGGTTCTAAATACAAGAACTTAATTTACTTTGTCTTTCATATTTATATATATTTTTTAAATAGTCCTTGTAATATTTGCACACATTAAAAATTCTATCAAATAGTAGTTCTAGCTAACACATATTATTAGTAAGGATATTTTAAGGAAGACAACACTTAGACCGTATTAAGGATTAATAAGTAGTTCTAGCTAACTTAATAAGTTTTCTTAATCTACTCAAATTAGTCAGCTAATTCTTATATTAAGGATCATAGGTTGTATGTAAAAGTAAAACTGTATGACAAAGAGAGCGCACTATAGAGTATAGATTCAGTATCTTGTCTTGATTTATGGGCGTAATACTTCCATATCCAAGGGTCGGGTTAAGCTTCATTAAGCCAAAAATGTGTTCAATACAATGTTGTAGCCCTTTAATTTCGTAATAAATCTGTTTTAGTTGTCAGTATTTGTTTGACCATGACATTACACCCAGCTACTCAAAATAGTAGTCATATCAATCTCTCACTTGGATTGTTAATCTCATAATATTAATTAAAAAAATATTAGAGTGACTTTTAATTAAGACTGAGAATACACAATTAGCCTTGCCTTTGTTGCAAGACAAGGTATCAATATACGTACCTTACGCAGAAGATTACTACTGAGACCATGTGTGCGCGTGCATATAATGCTGAAAATCGAACCACGCATTAAAGATAATTTAAGTAATCAAAATGGAAGATCCTTAAAAAAAATCTTTTTTTTTTTAAGATCATCAATTGATTTTTGAAAGTCACATTTAAGCTTGTTAATTTTAATCCAGTTGCGTTAGACCATATAAATGTAAAACTCTTTTAGTAACAAGTTTTTCATTCATAAGGCTCGAACTCAAAAACTTACTAAAAATGAAACAAGCGGGAAATGACGTGAATTAGGTGTGGTTGACAACGATATTGACATGCATCATCATCACTACTACTACTACTACTACAAAAAAAAGAAGACATATAACGTCGGGAAAAAACAGTAGTTAAAAAAAAACACCGTTAAAAAAAAGGACCATAGCAGTTTTGTAAACAAATAGCTTGACGGTTAACTTTATACAACAATTATTAAGACAACCGTCGTGAGAAGTGTTTTTAATGCCAGTTGAATTAAATACCTCCATTAAAAGTACTTTCCACGGTAGTTATCTTAATAACCACTATGGAAAGTTTTAAACATAACCCTATCACGCGTTCTCTTTTTGTAGTTTCATAGTCCAGTGCACCATGGCCCACCTTTGTCCCACCACCCAAATTGCTATACTAGCAAATCCCTACTGTTTTCTGCCGTGTTTGGTCCTCTATTGGCATTGTGGTTGATTTTCGCCGTATTCTACCGTCTTCCATCATGATTGTTGCCTCTTCTCACGTTTTAATCGTCTTATACTGAGTGAGGTTTCTCTTCTTTCATTCTTTTCATTTTTTCTTAGTGTCTTGGATGTTTTGATAATAGAAATCTATTGTATTTCAAATAGGTTAATTGGTTTTACATTTTGGATATCTTGCATTGTTTATTTTGCATATCTTATGTGCTTGAGGGGTTGGTTGGTGACATTTAGAGTTAGAAAACCTTAGTTACTTTCTATACATGGCATCAGAAACATGTTTAAATGTTCAAAGTTGATTAGTACTTAAGTTTTTAATTTTTTTAATAATTTTTTGATAATTTTATTTCGATTTTTTTTCAAATTTTTGTAATAAACTTGAGAATTTACCAATAAATAATTTGTTAAGTGTTTTAGCCAATTTTTTTTCCGTTATAAACTTTGATTAATGATAAAGTATTGTTTAAAATTTTATGACAAATGGATATCGTTTGTATTCTCGTTTTGGATTTAGAAGTTTTAGCTTTAAGAATCTTTATTCATTGAATTGATTTGAGATTAAATTGTTATTTTTGTTTTGTTAGTTACAGTTCTTCAAATTTATCTTGTATTTGTTTATTATATTATTAGTTTGTTGATCGATTGATTTGTCCATTGTTTAAATAATTTGAAACTTATTATATTTAAAGGGAAATTCTGTAAAAAAAATTATAAAATAAAAAGGCATTCCTTTTAATTTATAATTAAGTGTTAGTCAATTTTAATTTATTGACTAACACTTGATTACTTTATTTATTTGAATATTTGAATTAAGCAGCTAGAATTGAGTTGACAGTGCAATTATGCTCATTGACTCTGTAAAATAATAGATCGTAGTTGGGTGAAAATTAAAAGAATTAGTAAAGAATATGAAGATGGGTTTGAAAGGTTTCTTGAACTTGCTCAGAGAAATGCCCCTAGTAAAAAAGATGGCTTGTATTGTTGTTTTTGTGTCAAATGCTTAAACAATAGTCCGTAGAGTATTCCTGAGATAAAAGAGTATCTTATTTGTGATAAAATAAATTTGAGATATACAAATTGTATATGGCATGACGAAATTAGAAAGACTACACTGTCTGAAAAAGAGAAGGTTATGAATGATAACCTTGGTAATAGAATTTCCGATATGTTCCGTGACATAAGCTCTGAGTCCTTTGCATAGTTCTCTCCCACATGTGGAAGCTTGTGTAGTGATAAAGAGACGCCTTTGTACCCAGGGTGCAAAGATGACTATACAAGGTTGACAACTATGTTGAAGTTGATGAACTTGAAAGCAAAAAATAGTTGGATCGATACTAGTTTCACAGAATTGCTCGAACTGTTAAATGATATTCTTTCAAAGGGAAATTTGCTTCCAAAAGGAATGTATGAGGCAAAAAAATTGTGTTCAATGGGTTTGGAATATGAGAAGATACACAGATGCCCTAATGACTGTATATTGTTCAAAAATAAGTATGGAGGGTTGAATAAGTGCCCTAAATGTGGCACTTCAAGATACAATGTAAAGAAAGATGGTGGTGATTATAATGAGATGACCAAAGTCCTCCTTTAAAAGTATTGTGATATATTCTAATAATACTACAGTTTAAGTGTTTATTTGCTAATGCCACAGAAGCAAAGAACTTGAGATAGTATTCTGATGAGAAAATATGTCATGAAAAACTTCGTCACCCTACAGATTCTCCTCAATGGAAAGCAATAGATCATAAATTTTCTCAATTCGGTGGTGAGGCAAGAAATCTGGTAATCTTAGTAGCACACACAGTGCTTGGCCAGTTCTTTGGTAATTTACAGCTTACCTCTTTGGTTATGTATGAAAATAAAGTATATCATGTTATCTTTGATGATCTCGGGGCCAAAACAGTCAGGAAACAATATCAATGTATATTTGGCACCTTTAACTGAGTACTTAAGGAAGGTGTTGATGTATTTGATGCATATAAACAAGAGACCTTTAATTTACGTGTCATGATCTTCACCTGATAAATGACTTTCTAGCATATGAAAATTTGTCAAGATATAATGTTAATGGGCATAGCATGTTCGATATGCAAAGAAGGCACTCACTACATGCAACTCAAATATGGAAGGAAGACGATCTACCTTAGTCATAGAAGGTTTTTTAGTCGGCACCACCATTATCGTAGGTTGAAGAAGGCATT